TGTATAGCAAGAAGGCTTTGAACTCCCTCCCATTACCGATGTGGACTACTGTATCTGCTGGTGGAGATCGATGAAGCTAAGAGCCCACTGCTTAAAAAGTGCCCCTGTGGTACATAGATGCGATTAGCACACTTAAGCTCCTGCAAACAGCCAATCACCATTCCTGGGAATTAATTACATCCTACATCCTATGGTTGTATATGCCAGTCATCTCTGTGCTGTTTAGACAAACATGAGGTTACTAATATGTGGATAAATCAGGCACAAACAAGAGCTTTTTCATCAATATGTCACATCAAGTCATCTGACATTACATGTTTGATAGTATAAAACCATACACACGATTATTCTTTTGTTGTAACAATCTTTCTTGGCAAAAAATCCTGATACCCCTGGAAAGCCTGTTTATTTCTCCTTAAATGCTTCCAATTTATAAGGAAAATGCATTTGTGGGTTGAACAGCAGAGTTGATGTAAAATTTGCCACTTTGTCAGTGGCATACAGCTTATTCTCCTTTTGACTCTTGCACATGCGAGCTTGGACCCTGGTAGAGTGGTCAGTTGTTGTCTGCTCCAAACAGGCCATGTTTGACAGATCTGGTTAGGGCTTGCGTCATCTGCAAAGCTAAGTTGCAGCAGGTGAGCCCTGGTACCATTTCCAAATGGAAGGCCAAGTACTGTATGATGGTGATGACAAGATTCTGCAACCAGTGGACAATACCATATTTCTAGAGAACTCTATCCTCCAAGATTATAATGCACATCACACAAAGCGGGGTTTATAAGAGACCACGACCAGAATTTGGGAGTTGAAAATGAAGTGGCCACTGAACACTTGTTTGATCAGCATAGGCGTGCTGTTCGTGTCAGAGTGACCAACACAACCACACTGGCTGACTTGTGACAAAAGCCGGTTGAAAAATAAGACACCATCCCACAGGACTGTGTGACCAGCATGAGGAGGTGATGCCAGGCTGTTGTGGCTCTGCATGGTTCCTCAACATGCTGCAGAGGGCTCTGTTTGTTAGATGAATAAATTGTTAAATGGTGGGTTTGTCTTGTTTCTTCAGACTTCAATCATCCAATCCAATAAACGATACCAAACAAGAGTCAATGGCAGACATCTGTTTGGCAAATTTTTAATGGGTGCTGCCCAAATGCATTTTTCTTACAAATGTGGCAACATTTAAGGAAAACTAAATAGAATTATTGCCAAGAAGTATTATCACAGCAAAGAAATAATCGACAAACCACAAATTTCTTTACTTTGTAACAAGTTTGTATCAAATCACGTGACATGCCATTCTTGGTATGGTTAGCTATCATAATATGATTGCGTTCTTTTTCTTTACTTTGTAGAGAATCTGCACGTATGTTTCAATATCTTGAGGCCTATCAGAATATATTTCCACAGATTTTTTTGCCATATTTTAAGTGTTATCTAATTTTTCAGAAAACTATTTGCAACTATTTTGCTAAACACTTTCAGCAAAGTCACTTTTCAAGCAAAAAGCTAAAAATTTCCAGTTTCTCAGTTGTGAGAATTTGTTACTTTTCATATGTCTTATGACACAATATATATAGAGTAATTTTAACAGTATTTTTAAAAATCTAATCTGCAATACTGTAACAGCTGCTTGCAGTTCCCTATTGTGTGTAATTTAAACTAATGACCACTCTCCTTCGAGATTTATGTTCGAGATGTCAATACGAAGTGTCTAATGGTCTGCCCGGTTCGTGTTTTAGACCTCTAGTGGTGTCATTATCAATATTTCACTGTATACAGGAAAGAACTGAAGCACGTTTGGTGATTGATTTTCATCCAAGAGCAAAAAGGAAGTTTAAAATCATCACAAATTACTACACTTTCTCCTGCCAGTGTCCCTTTATGATCACGGGCCTCTCCTTCATTGGTCCAGAGAGTATAAGCTATTATTGTGCTCTCAGCCTTGAAGTCGCCCACCCTGTTATCAGCACAAGGCCATCGGCTTTTACCTCAGTAGTAGCGATGCCCTTCCATTAGTCACCCCACCTTAACCCTCGCGGGCGTGCTGCTCTCTCTGGGCTTTTGAGTCTCATCGTATTTCCTGTCCTCTCTTTTGCTTTTGTCTAGAATCTCTTAACTCAATTTTTATTTATTTTTCATAAAACCATTATCCTGGTCAGTCGTACCTATGAGCTGCTCTGTGTGCGTCTGCTATTAATGGCCATTGAGCAGTTCAGCCAGAGCAAATGGGGCTTAAGTGCATTGTTCAAGGTCACATTGTGGTGGTATTTGAGAGATGAGCATATCAAATTTCTCCACCGACAGTACATTATTGGAAAAATCAAGTAAAAAAAGAAACGAACTAGCAGCTATGCTACTTAGCATAATCACTTTTTTGTGCTGGATATTTGCTGTCAGTTCTTTGCTACTTTACAACATGTTGGACTATTGAGCTTTAATATGTGGGGCTATGATGTTTTCAGTTACACCCCGGGTGTTGTATAGGCTGGCATGTTGGATTTTATATGTGGTTTCCTGCTTTGTAGAGCTTTAAATTGTGTTGAAAATATCCTTCATATGTGCTTTTTCCCTAAAGAATTTTTCAGTTGGGTGTAATTAAATGTCTAATTACACCCACCAAGCAGATTAAATGATCGTTTTAGTTAGTATGTTAGCGGGATTTGTGAAAAAGTTATGGATGTATTTAACTGTGGAAACATTTTGGCCACCCCTAATTTCTTCATATTTTGCTTCTAAGGAGCCAGACTGTCCTGTCACTTTTTCAAAGTGGTCTTGAGTAATAGTTCTCCAGACTTTCTCAGGAAACCAATGTCCAAAGGAAGTTTTTCTTTAGACACTGAGTGTGTTTTCACTCAGTCCTTGTACCTGAACATTTTCAGACAAATGTGTTTTGTTTTTTTTTTATTAAACCTCTTAAAACTTTAATTCAATTCATTTCAGTTCAGTTTTATTTATATAGCGCCAAATCACATTAACAGTCACCTCAAGACGCTTTGTATTGACCCTAGAATATAAAGCAGTTATTAACACTGACCTGTGAATCATCCAGGCATAAAAGATGCACTTAAAATATGGCAAAGATTCAATGTTGTTTCTACACATAACAGAAAACTTGCTGAATCTATGAAAAATGCTACAGCGAATGATATTAGCTGAAAAAAAGTATTGTTTCCGTAAAAAAAATTTGAGGCAGCTGGACAAATGGAGCATAAAAGAAGAAATGGTAGGCCTACAAAGCTATTTACGACCGATGAAGAGTATCAGAAAAATCCAGCAAAAAGCTGACACAGGACCAGAGACATACATCTGGCCCTTCAGCTGATTAATCTGCTGCCTCAACAGAAATGATCTCAGTTGAATTGTCACAGCCAAAAAGCCATTTTAAAGAAAGGGAAACAGGGAGAAAAGCCTGAGGTGTGCCAAATATGCAAAAGCTGCACTGGAAATTAGTGGCAACAGGTCAAATTTGAACATTTTTGGTTCAAATCATTGTTACATCATATGTACAGATGTTGGGAGTGAGGTACAGCAACGAGTCTCTAAAACACAGGGGAGGTTATATCATGTTTGGGGCTACATTCCAGCCAGTGGTGTTGGGGATTTTGTCAAAATTTGATGGAATTATGAAAGCAGAAAAATAACATTTTGATTTTGATCCACCATACCATCTGGAAACTGTCTGATTGACCATAAACAAAGTGCCAATGCAGTAAAAGCGTACCTGGATAGAAACACAGTGGAACACTATTAGTCATGGACTGGCCTCCAGTCAAGTAATCCTGAAGATTACTTAAATAAATTAGAAGAATGCTTTCCTAAAAAAAGTATTCTTTGCCTTCAGTAAACATGTAGCAATAATTTTGAGTAAAATGCAACTGAAATCAAAATCAAAGCTTTTTTATTTAAATCAATCAATCAATCAAATAAAATTAATCATTGAGGAAAATGTGCCTGGTATAAACCAATCAAGTAAATTTAATTTGACCAGATTCCATTAAATATAACATTTTACAGTCTACTTATGTAACAAAAGTATTTTTTGTAGTGTAAGTGAGTTCAGGCTGTGTGACAACAAAGGAGATCATATTTCAAGCTCTTTAAAGTTGTACCAATTCTTTGTTTTTCTCATTTACTTTATTTCCATATATGCATACACATGTTTCAATAAATCACCGCACTTTTCCCCCATTTTCCTAGCAAAGGCATGGCGTTAAGGGAAGTTTCGCCCATGCCTAAGGTAATGTTTTTGTTCTTTCATCACTATCACTGTGAAGAAATGCCGTCCTGTTTTCCAAAGTATTTTTGTAACTTGCAAACTCAGTTGTACGTTTTATTACATGCTGTTTATGTGCATGTGCACTAATGAAAGTCACAAGAATTTTGTGGGCCTGAAAAATTATAGGTAACTTAATTTGTCCTGAAAGTAATTTCATTATGCAGGACGTCAAGTTACTATGAACAAAGAAAGTGTGCCTCATAAACCTTAGTGCATCTGTGATTTTCCTCCACTTCCTGCTTTGCCCCGCCCTTTCCTTGACCAGTTTGCACATCCTGCACAGCGTACCTGTCTCGGTGCAGTGTTATCTTGATGATCAGTGGTGGATGAAAAAGGAGGCACGGCTCCGTTCTGCAGTAACCCAATCTGATGTCTCCTTCTCATCCGACCATCGGAGAGGGCTGCTCACGCTGCAACGGCACGACCCTCTGCCTCAGCACTTTTCTCTCTCCCAGTGTGTTTGTGTGTTTATGTACTGTACGTGCGAATTCCGAGGGTCGGCGTGCGCGCGCATGCATGTGTCCTGGCAAAAGCCTGAATAATTGATGAGCAGTGGAAGGAGTGAAAGCACTGCCGGACGGGACGGTGTGTGTGGGAGTGTGTAGAGATGGGGGAGAGGAATACAGTGAGGCAGCAGCCTGGCTACGATGGGCTCTGCAACTACGCCCAAAAAATCACCTCCTGTTTCGGACTAGATGGTAAGAGAGGGGGGGTGTTTGTTATGCGTTGATAAGGATGGAGAAACAGCAGAGGCTGTGCGAATGTGTGTGATGCATTTTATGTGCTCTACTGATTTTCAGCTGCGCAGGGACAGCAGTCTTGTTTTTCTAAGCGTGTTGAGTTGCGAGTGTGTGGGTAGTTGTGGCAAACATACCACAGACTGGATGACGATTGGAGGGCAGTGCCACATTGCAGCAGAGTACTATGTCCTCAGCTACTCCCAGGTACATGTGTCCTCGTGTGTGGGTGTAAGACTGTACATGTTCTTTCACTGTCACACTTTTTATTTTGCCTGTAATGAAAGTCTGACTACCTGAATGAAGGTGTGGTTGCAAGCAGACTCCAGAGGAAGTAAAATTTGATAAGTACCTGATGGTAATAGCACTATACGCAGCCAGTCTACCTCCAGATATCCTGTCTGTGCACCCTCTCAGACAAAGAGGAAATTCATTAAATTTGAAGTGCAGGCCAAGCCGGGCATCTCCAGACTAAAAGGAAATTTTGTGCTTTGTCACTGTCTGCTATGCTTTTCATCAAATGTGCGCTACTCTGGTTTAATTCTTTCGTGACATGTTTCATTTACTCTTATCTGCTTGATGGAATTAAGATGTCAGGAGGGAGTTTTCTGTTTTATTGCACTTACGGTAGTTGATATTATGTTGAAATATGTTTGGTGACTACGTAGCAATTTCCTAGCAACTCTGTGTCAACAAAACTATCATATTTTCAGTTGGTTTAAAGCATTAGTGGGTTATTGTCAGTGGATTTTACCTCATGAAAAACTTAGATTTCCAAGGAATGTGAATGGATTCTTGGCTGGAGGAAATGAGCCAAGAATGAATGACATTGTGCAAGTCTTTGCAGAAGCAAATTGAACTCAAACCCAGAACATGTGTTCTTACTGCGTTGCAACTTAGCAAAATCCTATTGATGTAGCCGTCAATTTCAATGCTAATGGAGGGATAACTTGTCTGCATTTCAAGTTTAACACTAATGTATTCACAGGATCTTTAGATGTTATTGATCCTGCTGATGAGGAACAGTGAATTTGTGCGTTTTTGCCTGCTGGAACGACCTTGCTGGTTGTTGACCTTGTAAGGGACTGGCAGACTCCCAAGGCAATCCAACCTTGAAAGAATGCTTTGGGTCAGTGTAATGCTCTACAATGATCCATTTGTTCTTTCTGTGTGTGAACCTAACTTAATGTAAGATTTAAAAAAGGACCTTGTTATTTAGCAGCGTAATTGAACTTAAAACGTAAAGACAAATCAAACCCCACCCAGAAGATAATCGTGACACGACGTCAGCCTTAAGCAGCTTAAGGCACCAAGCTGGTTGGGCTGAAGACACTCATACTGTAAGCTTGTCTCCTTACGTCTTACTCTACGCTACCTAAAGCCACCTGAAAAGTGATGGATGGAGGGACCCTAACCAAAGGCGGTTCATCGGCTCTTGAAACCGGGCCAAGGTTTAACGATGCGTTCTTTTGAATTTACCCTTCAAGCTTCCTTTGTTTCGCTTCTGTGCCTCTGTGAACACCCCTCACCCCCGATGTCCAAGGCTGAAAGTATTTCAGAGCGAGTCTGAGTCCAACACTGGCTGACGTCTACCTGCAGTGCTTCGCCCTTCTCTGTGGGACGGTCGAAGGAGAGCAGGGCACCATGCCTACTGTGCCCAACCTCAACAGCCTGAGCAAACTGTGCAGCTCCAGCCGCAGCCAAAGTGTCAACCGCGTCCGAGTAAAACGCAAGAGCTCGGTAAAACGTATGTCCATCATCGAGGATGGACATGTGGCGGAAGTCCTGTACCTGATTCCTAAACAGTACATGGAGCAGCTCCCGTACCTCAACCCTAATGACTATTATCTAAGCGAGAGGCTGAACGATGTCGCTACAGGTAGGACAGGTTAAAACATATGGATCAGCGTTTATTAACTCAGCTTCTGTTATAGGCTTTTTATTGTCCAAATAATAAAAACTAACTGTAGTGATATTACCTTACCTCCGTGCGAGCAATAAAACATTCACAATAACATGCAAAAAATAGACTGTGCATCTAGTCTAAGACACTTTTAGCTGAAGTTACATTAGAGTTTATAATTTTTCTTCCTGCTAGCGGCCCTTTTTTTAGCAGTTGTTTTATACAACAAAAGACTCTTATTTTAGCCCTCTATTGCAGTCTGGCTGCTCTGTTTGTGAGTAGGTGTCTCGAAGTGAATTGATTAGTTGTTGCTCAGAGATCACTTTGTTCTAATTGGATGACAGCGTGTGACTACACCTCTTGTGGATTTCCACATCTGACCTGTGTTTCTTTGTGCGAGCCTCACTTGCATGAGTTATGCAATGATTACACTGAAAAAGTCTCACAGAAAACATAAAAAAAACATTAGAAAATTCATCACCCTCCTCTTTATACTTATATAATTCAAAGCCATATGCGAGGGCAATTTTGCTGAATTTTGCCAAGCCAACGGTACAACAGTACATGAGGAAGTGACATGGTGGCTTACATCAGGATTAGAACATGGGCATTAATACAGATTGAGATTTCCAGACCTTATGCATTCTCTGACTGCATGCCAGGCAAAGTAGTAAAAAACATCATTGCTTGGCACTGAGTTGTCCTTAAAATAAATACTTGCAAACCACATGGCAGCAAGTTCCTTCTAATGCTGGTGTCTAAAAGTGATTTTGAGCTTCCAGCTTTAAGGAAGGTGGTTTCAGATAAAAGGTCACAGAGGTTAGCTGTCAGCTAAGATCAATCAGAGACAGTGACATTCAATAAGTGCTTATATGCAGTAATATATATGCATTTTTTTTGGGAGACTGGATAAATTCTATGATTTTCATAAGACTAGATGTTTGTAAAAAGCACTCAGAAATGAACAAATAGTCATCCTCTTATTCAGCCATAACCACTCCCGAAGCCTATTGTTGCCTATGATTGCTGAACCCAACACAAGCTCTGTGTTCCCACACCATAAACCCTCCTGCATTATTCCACTTGATGATTGTTTGTTTGAATGTGAGTGGCTCTAAGCCTGCTCTCCAAGTGCTGTTATCCAGGGGTCAACAAATATTTCATCGATTCCTCAAAGAAACATGAAAACAAGTTAAGCCCCGTGTGGGTTGTGGGTAAAAAAACAAAAAAGGGGGAAAGAAAAGTGGTTTTTATGTTTGGGTAAATTGTTAAAACATTTCTCAAAAAATGCCAATGAAGTTGTTTGTTGGAAAAATATAGTTCTGTGTGTTCAGAGTGGCTACATAACAGTAATGTTAATCTGGAATGGGTGAAATACGCTTTAAAGAAGTGCGCCAGGTTGCACAGGGTTGGTGTTCAAAAAGTTCTCACTGTTTTGTAACCTGTTTTAAAATAGAAGCCGGTGAAGTGCCTGTCATTATCCAGCGAGAGAGAGTTAATTAAGTCTGTCTGTGCTCCAAAAGAGTTTAAGAGTGCATCCTAGTTATTTGTTTTCTCTGTCAAGTTTATAAAAATCTAGAAATCATCCTCCAGTCCACAGAGTGTCTCAAAATGCATATTTAAAAAAATGTTTTTTCATGCATTTATGTGTATGTGCAATGTGTGTCTCTGGTGTCTTGCAACCATAATTATAAAGCCGGAGATAACTGTGCAGCCTGTCTTCACTGTTTTTTACTCCACGTGTGATGTTTTCTTTTTTGCAACATAATCATTTTTGCCAGTTTGGCTGTGGTCTGAACCCATAAGACAAATTACTATGAAATGCTCGTATCAGATGATAACAGTACTTAACCTGCTAATTTACAGGCTTGTTATTAATTGACAGTCAAACATGAATCATCCATAGGTGCGCCAAATACAGCAGAAACCTTTCATCCGTGGATAATAGGCTTTGCTCCTCAGGAATTGCTCCTGGCAAGCCTATTGTACCATGATTGTCCTGCAGCTCCTACAGAGATTATTAAAAGAGTCAAGATGATAATAGGTCCACTACAGCAAGAGCAGTAACAGGATATCTTTGTGCTGCATTTAGCAGTTAGAAGCAGTTAGAAGGTGGACTGCAAACCTTGTAGTGTTCTTTTAGTTTTTACTGGATTTTATTTTTGTTTTAATTATCATACACTTATAACATATTTCCCTTTCTTTACAATAAAAAAGGGTGGAGTGCTCGGAGTAACGTCCGGCAACTATTTATACCATTTGCCTCCCTGGCATGTCGCCCGTTTGTTTGATGAGGAGAAAACGCCCCGTGGAAACTGTGGTACGATGATTGGTTTCCAGAAGGTGGCACAGTTTACACTGCAGTAGGCGAATGCATTCTGCATGCATAATAAGCTGCCTGCATTAGGATTTACAGTGGCAGTGCTGATGAAAAACTGTTCCTCGCACATAGCCATAGGAATACGGATTGATCAGTAACCAAATTTGGTCCCTAATTTCTGCTGAGTTACTTTTGGAGTCATAATCTTTCCACGCTGTTGTTTCTAGAAACACTGGACTGGCACCTTGGGCATCAGTAGAACTTTTTAAATTCTCCGTAGAGCAAATAAGAAACTTTATTAATGCATTATACCCTAGTTTGTCAGCTCTGAGTGAAATTGTATTCCAAAATAATTCCATATATTTGATGCGGTTTCTTTTTAGTACAACAAAACGTGTCGCTTCAGTTACATAACACACGTGCATACATTTTTTTCTTGTTTTTGCATGTTGTTGCATCTCTAGCAGATGGGAGTCTTGTTTATTTTGCAGGTTTTTTTTATTTTTTTATCACAGAGGTGCCACTTCATTCATAGAGTCATTTTTTTCATATGGTTACTTAAGCGACAGATGATATAAGAGCCGGTATGTTCATCTAGCTAGAACATGCTCTCCTGTGCTCTGTGTAATTGGATTCCAGGGGACTGGAGCTCCGAAGATATTAATACAGCGCTCGTGTTCGCGATCACAGGAAGTTTAACCTTCAACCTTAGATGGCCCGTTTTGGTCTTTGCATTGCTGCCCTCATGATCACTGAGATTTTTAGCAGTTAAGGCTCTCACTCTAATTAAGGTTGGCTTTACTGGTCCAAAAACATACTTCCAAAGAAGTCAGCCTTTTACTTAGTTGCTTTTAAAGTAGTTGTGCTCTGCTTTTTTTTAATACATCGGTCAAATACTGAAAGTTTTCAGTGAGCCACTCTTTTAGCACAGCAGGCTAATTGCCTTACTGTAAAAAGCCATTGATCACCACCTGCTGCCCTGTTGTACTGAAACACAGTCTTTGCTGAAGTGTCTGTTGTACAGCACAGTGATAAGGGGGTGCTTTTTCAGAATAATTCAATGTTGAACTTCTTACTTGTGGAATAGATTTATTTGCATTTCTGAGTATTGATAAATCGCAGTACACCACCCACTTTGGAATGGAGGACAGTTAGAAATAAGGTTTTGAAACTGGAAAAAAGAAGAAAAAATCTGTGTCAATACATGTGAGCAGGTGTGGGGATTTTTTTGGGGGGGGGGGTTACTGTTTTGGTCACACAGAGGCATCAGCAGCCACCTGGTTGCTGCAATGAGGAGGCGGCTGACACAACAGAGAGGCTGAGAGAGGGAGCAATAGGGGAAGAGGAGGGAGGAGGATGTGTGGAGGGGGGGAAAGGAGGAGGAGAGGGATGGGAGGAAAACAGGCAGTCGGGAGGCAAACCCCACGCTGTAGCTGTTTTTGAGAGGAGCGCTAAGCAGCGCCCACACCTCTCTCTCTCTCCCTCTCTCTGGTGCTTTGGCTTTCTTTTTTGTGCTCCAGTCTTGACTAAAAAAAGGGATCTAGCAGCTCGGGTGTTTCTGGTGATTGATCTTCAGAGCCTTTTCTGGTGCGGATATACCTGGATTCCAATGGTCATGGTCAAAGAAAAAGGTATTCCAGCGGTCATGACTGTGTGTGTGTGAGGTTGTCATGAGTGTGTTAATACGGGATTTGTTTTGCCTGTCGTGCTGTTGACTGTCTGCAGACCGTATAGACGTGCAGTATGTCCATTTGGCTTTAAACTCCAGTGTCTGGCTGAATTCGCTTTGACTGGACTAAATTTCTGATTTCCGATTTGATTATTTTTAGAGATTTAGACATATGATGTGGTAATATGGGGGTGGTTTTCTCTATGTGGGTGTGTGTTGCTTGGAAGAAGTATGACTAACAGCTCAGTCTAAATGTGCATCTCTAGCACATCAACATGTTCCCTCAGAGAAGCAGACTTGAACATGCTACGCCCTTGTCGATATTCTCTAGCTGCTGCTGCTGCTGCCTGGGTTGGAGTCTGCTTAATTTGGCTGCATCAGGCTTTATGTAAATGTACAGCATCTGGCTTGTCATATAGGAGCTTGTCAATTAAAACCTTCAGGGTCATAGTTCTGGGATTAAACAGTTCATCTTTATAAAGAGGCTAAATAGTGAGGTAACGTAGAGACGAAAAGTGGAGCACTAGTGTAGGGAGGCACACTGCGCAGAGCTGTGGACCTGCACTCTGTCTCTCCCTCGCTCTCTCTCTCCCTGTCTGCAGCCGTTGCCATGGTGACCATCTAAAAGGTACACTCCATTGTTGTCAGCTGTGGCCCCATTCATAGTGTCCTGTTGAAAGAAAAAGATGATTGTTTCCACCTATTACTGAGGTCGCCCGGCTGTGTGGGCAGAACGAAGCGAAGTCAGGGGTTGTCGTTTAGAGATATTAACATTCCCTGCAATTTGCCGGGGCATGCGCTCGTGAGGTTGACCGTTGTCAGCATGACTCAAAGCGAGCAGCAGTGAAGACAGCTTTCTAGAGTAAAGAAAATCTCCTGTTTAAAAATATTTAGAGGAGCGGTGAAAGCTCTGCCAAGGAGCAGATGACTAACTGAACTCAAACTGGAGTAGCTTTTGTACCGGGAACGAGTCTGTGACTTTCAAAC